AACTTGGATGTCTCCCAGCGATGGAAAGCATCCAAGCCCATCAAAGTCTCGGCTAGTGTTAAGCCAATGCTACTTTTTCCCTCTTTCAAGCCTTGGGCAATTTCTATCAAGTGAATGCTAGACCCTCTGAAGCCAGGGGCAAGCAAGAAATGGGCCAATATGCACAAGCAAAGAGCATGCTGCCGAAAACTCTGCCAAAGGCGGTCGCCGCGGTCACCGGCGTCGAAAAAATGATAAATCAAGTTTGGGATATCCAGTTTCCCATTGTGAATCTAAGATCAGGCATCCTGTAAGGTGAGCCCGCACATCCTTCTCAAAGCCTGGATATGACCAAAACGAGACTGGGGCAAGATTTCCTTGTCATGCCGGGATTCCATCAAAGCTTGGAACTCTTCAATTGTGGGACATATCTCTTGTCCTCCAAAGCTAAAAACGTATGTGACCGGATTCCAATTTCTAGCCGCGGCATGGAGGAATGGAAAACACAGTGGAGTGTGGCTCAGCAAGAATAGTGTGTTTAGTCCGAAACCTCGGAAATTCAACTTTTCTGAGCCATCCAAAGTGGCGATCCAATTTGAGAGATTTTCGGCAAAGAATGGTTCCATTTGGGGCAAAAATGGAGTTGAATTGAAGAAACCCCAAAGCTAGAGCTTTTGTAGAAGATAAGGTGTTGAGTGGAAGACAGGTGGCAGCAATCTGGAGGTTTTCTGCATTGATGGCCGACCGGCCAATGTTGATGACCGACCGGCCAATGTTGTGGCCGACAACTATTTTAGATGGCCGGCAGCATTTGTTTGTGGTCGGTGACCTTCCATTTTACCCTCTGGTCCTCCCAAGTGTTGAAAATGCCAAGAAACTGTGTTTATTTCACTCGTGGTGCATTTTCTCTAGAATTTTGTCAAAATTGCTTATCGAGTTATAGCTTTGCTTTTCGAGTTGTATTTATATTGCTTATCGAGTTGTTGCAATTTGCTTATCAAGTTGTATTTGTGTTGTTTTTCGAGTTATTTTGTTTTGCTCAGTTGTTAGTTGGTTCGCTACCTAATTAAGACAATGCAATTTGGATGTACAGTTTTTAACAAAGATCAATCTCATTTTCATACTGTGCGATGTTATGCAATGCGTAGAATGCAAAATGCAACACTTTTTAAACAAAAAGTATTTTCCATTTCAATCATGGCTTCCTTTTTACAAAAGAGTACAAGTTTTTAAGAAAAGAAAAACTGCCTAAGGCTATACAATGTGCTAATACAACTAGTAAAAAGAAAACTAAAGAGAAAAAAAAAAGAGAAAAGAAAAAAGAAGAGTATCTGAATCTATGCCAGCTGTCTCAGGATCGAGAGGCCCTCTTCGTCCTTTTCCGCGGCTGAGTAGACTCGGAGCTATCTTCGTCGGCCCCACTATTAGAATCTGAGCCGGAGCCTGAACTAGAGCCATCTCCGCTCCCCTCCTCATATCTATTCTCGGCATCGCCACCGCTTTTAGAATCCGAGCCGGTGCCGTCGCCTCCACCCTGAGATGACTCAGACTGTGGACTTGCTGGCTCCTCATCCTTGTCAGTCTCATCGTCCTCCGGGATAGGCTCTGGTGAATTATGAGCAAGCCTAGCCCTGCCTCGGCTGTGTGTCGGAGCCCTCCGTCTCTCTCTCCCTACTGTCGGAGGAGGCGCCGAAGGTCCTGTCGCAGCTTCTACTAGGGCACCTGTTGGAACTGGCATCTAAAATGGGACCTAAAAAGAACAGTTTGTCAAGTGCATCAGTTATTGGTATGCAGAGCTGAGTATGCTATTGAATGCAATGTGTGGAAGCAGTGTGTCAATGCAGTGTTGCTAATGCAATGAATTCAGATCAGTATGAAATAGATTACAGTTGAAATGCTAATGTATCAGCAGAAAACTTTGTGAAGTGCAAATTGAAGGAAACTTACAGGGATCCTGTACAGGCTGAGTAGGTTCAGACTAGTCTGAACCATCCCCATAAGAGAGGCCGCCAGCTCGAGAGCCTACCCGGTGTACTCTATAGAAGCCTGCAAATGTGTTAAGATGATTAGCAGTCTACAGAGCATAACTGAAATGAATTGAATGTACAAAATGTGAAGTATGGTATATACCGGAGTCAGGCCTCGAATTCCGACGAGCTCGTGACCGGTTGGTGTAGGCTTGATGGGGATCTGATAAGTCTCTCCAGAACGTCCCCAGCAAGTCATAGTAGTGGGCAGCTCTAGCCATCTCGCCCTCTGCCTCGTCTGGGAGCCTCTCCTATCATAGGTATGGGCTTGAGTAGTCCTGGATCCCTGGGCTCTCCCCCTCACAACTGGAGCTCTGGCTCTCTCCCCCTCGCAAGCATCGGTCAATGATGGCATAAGGTATGCCTGGATGAAGGTAGCGTAATCGCCGTCAAGCCTGAAGAATTCGGCATCCCAACCTCTCGTGAAGTCGATCATCTCTTGCTCGGTATACCTCTCTATAATCCTCATGTATTTGGGAGGTGGCATCGGGACCACCGACTCAGGCAAGCTGAGGCTCTGTCGCAAGAACCGCTCCCCCAGGAACCACGCTCGACAAACTGGGCCCTCAAGCAAGATCCGAAATCGTGAGGCGTCCCGAGCACCCACAAATTAGTCTCTGACCCCGTCAGGCATCACCACCCACGGCTGCCAAGTGATCTGCAGTCAGTGAATGTACAAACTGTTAGCTGCCATTGTATCTATTGTATATGCGATATGAAATAAAGTTGAAATGACTGTAAGGTTTGAGTTACCTCTGTGGCGGTCATGGTGTCGAAGAATCGACAGAAGAATGAGAATGACTCTCGGGGCCTCCGCTCGCACCTCCCGTTATATCGGTATGAATACGGCACCATGGGTGGTATCTCTACCTCTGGCTCTGAGGTAAACCTTGAGAAATAGGCATACACTCATAACTATAGAAGATGGAAGGGTAGCAGTGTGTATATCTATCAGTGTGTGCAGAAAGTATACAGTGTGTGCAAAAAGTATCAGTGTGTGCAGAAAGTATACAGTGTGTGCGGTGCAGTGTCCAATGTGCAATATGCAGTATACAAAAAATGAAGAGCAGAAATGTAAAGCAGAAGGGTAGGGTGTACCTCCCAGGCCCTCTAGTATCCCCCTAGTAGATGTCCGCTCCGGCGAGAAAAGGAGCTCATATATCCATATAGTGTGGCCAAGCCTGCGCCGCCCCAATCATGGAATCGGACGCGAGGCATGTCCACTAGTGCGCTCAGGAGGTAGAGCCCGACGATGTTCGCCCAGTCGGCAAACAGAGTAGTACCAAGCAAAAACATGAGGAAGCCCCGGGCGTAATACTCAGCCTCCTCGTGGGTCGACGGCATCGTCCCTCTGAAATAATCGGCAAACCATGTGCAGCGTACCATCCCAGATCGGGAGATGGGTGGGCGAGTCCCTAGCAGGTAGATCTGGGCGGCCTCCTACTCGCCCATGTCGGTGTCGTAAGGAATCGGATGACCCCCTACTTCAATGCCGGTAAGCATAGAGAAGTCGAAGGACAGTATTAACAGTAAGGTGGTGTTAACCGCATGCCCGCGTAGCAATGAAATCATGTAAACTGCTTAGGAAAGGGTGTCAGGGTTACTTGTGTAGTATCTTGACTGAACAATCTGTGAATGTTGAAATAGACAGTATTCCTGTTGTTAGAGAATTCCCGGATGTATTTCCTAATGAATTTCCAAGGGGATTGGTTGACAGAGAAATAGAGTTTACCATTGATGTTGTCTAAGGCACCAACCTATCTCAAAAACCCCTTACAGAATGTCTACTGCTGAAATGAAAGAATTAAAAGAACAGTTGCAAGACTTGCTTAAAAAAGGGTTTATCCGACCAAGTACTTCACCATGGGGCGCATCGGTGTTATTTGTAAAGAAGAAATATGGGACTTTACATTTATGCATTGACTACTAGGAACTGAACAAGGTAACGATCAAAAAAAATATCCATTGCCCCAAATTGATGATTTATTTGATCAGTTATGTGGTTCACAAGTTTTTTCAAAAATTAATTTGGGATCCGGACACCACCAGTTGAAGGTGAAGGCATAAGATGTAGAGAAAACATCATTCAGAACAAAGTATGGTCACTACGAATTTCTTGTTATGCCATTTGGAGTGACTAATGCACTTGCAGCATTTATGGACCTTATGAGAAAGATTTTCAAAACTTACCTCGATGAATTTGTTGTGGTTTTCATTGATGATATTTTGATTTATTAGACAAATGGTGTGGATCATAAATAACATTTGAGGACTGTTTTGCAAACACTTAGAGAAAAAAAATTATTCGCTAAACTAAAGAAATGTGAATTTTGGTTGGATGAGATTGTTTTCTTAGGGCATGTTATCAACAGAGAGGGGATTTTAGTAGACCCATAAAAGATAGAGGCAATTGTGAACTGGCCTACATCAACGAATGTAACAGAAGTCCACAGTTTCATGTGTTTAGCTACGTACTATAGAATATTTGTGAAAGATTTTTCAAAAATAGCAGGGCCTCTTACCCAAATTACACGCAAAGGACAACCATTTGAGTGAAATGATGAAAGAGAATCTGCCTTCCAAAAACTGAATACAAGATTGACTACTGCACCAGTGTTGACATTGCCCACAGGTACGGAAAACTTTGTGATTTATAGTGATGCATCTTATAAGGGTCTGGGTTGTGTATTAATGCATGAAGGAAGGTTAATTTCTTATGCCTCTCTCCAGTTGTGACCACATGAAAAGAACTACCCAACACACGACTTAAAGTTGGCCGCTGTTGTGTTTGCTTTAAAAATTTGGAGGCATTACTTGTATGGGGCGAAATATGAAGGTTATACGGATCACAAAAGCCTAAAGTAATTCCTTATTCAAAAGGAGTTGAATATGAGGCAAAGAAGATGGTTTGAATTTATAGAATATTATGATCTTCAGATTCAATATCACCCGGGGAAAGCTAATACAGTTGCTGATGCCTTAAGCAGAAAATCAATGGGGAACTTGATTTGCCTACTTACTGAACAAAAGGAAATCCTGCAAGACTTTAAGAAGTCTGAGATTAAAGTGGTATTACATGAGCAAAATGGGTTAATAGCTGCCATTGTAGCCCATCCGACAATTATTGATGAAATCAAGCAGAGGCAAGGAGAAGACAAATTCTTCAAGAAGATAATTGGTGAAATTGAAGTGAATCCAAAACCGAGGTATAGTGTTGAAAATGAAGTGTTGAAATTTCAAGATAGAATGTGTGTGCCGAACATTCCTAAGTTAAAGAAAAGAATTCTAGATGAAGCTCACAAGTTAATGTTTGCAATGCACCAAGGCAACAATAAGATGTATTGGGATTTGAAACAAAGCTATTGATGGCCTATATGAAGCGCGAAATTGCAGAGTATGTGTCCAAGTGCCTTTAATGTCAGCAAGTTAAGGCCGAACATCAGAAACCAGCAGGTCTATTTCAAACTCTCCCTATTTTGAAATGGAAACTGGAGTATATAACCATGAATTTTATTATCGGACTACCTTGAACCTCGAGATGTATGAATTCTATCTGGGTTATAATTGATAGATTGACTAAATCTGCGCAATTTTCTTCTTGTAAAGACTACTTATGATGCTTATAGACTTGCCTCTTTATATGTTGATGAAATTGTCTGTTTACATGGAGTGCCAGTATCTATTGTGTCGGATAGAGATCTGAAATTTGTATCTTGATTCTGGAAAAGCCTTCAAGCAGCAATGGGGACAGAACTCAGATTTAGTATTGTATTCCATCCACAAATTGATGGACAGTTAAAATGGACTATACAGACTCTAGAAGATATGCTTGGAATGTGCGCCTTAGATTTTTAGGGGAGTTGGGAAGATTATTTACCATTGGCAGAGTTTGCATATTGGTACCCGCGCGAGGAGTTTGAAAAGGTGCCCAAATGCCCTGTCTAGGCTTATCGCTACATAAATGTGGGAAAATGTTTTGGGGTGTCCACATACTCCAGCCGTATAATAGCCGGCAAAAGTGGAAAAACGGATGGTTTTCCTTAGGGTGCCCACCTCCCGCCTTATAATTGATAGTGAATGTAGAGGTTGTTTTCTAAAAGTAAAAGTAAAGGTTGTTCTCAATTGGACTCATGTGGAGGAATGTGTGACTTGATTTCCATGGTTATGGGTGTTTAATTGTTATACATGATGACATGAATTGTAATTGTTTGTGTTGCATTCTAACGGTTCATTGTGAATTGTTGACAATTACCTGTGAAGATGTAATTTATTGTATTGTTTTATCATATAGTACCATGATCTTGTTCAAAGGATTAGATTCCAGGATAAATGTATTCCTACTGGGCCTCTAGCTCAACCCTAATCTATTTTTCAGGAACTGACGAAGTTCAACCTCATTGAAGGATTGGTTCAAGCTCTAGAGCTATTTTCTTTTTGGGGAAGGATTGAAGTCAAGAACATTTTAGTTATTGTTTTTATATAGGGATTTTTGTAACAGAACCACTAAATGTATTTTGTGGTGTTGTAAGCCCACAGGGCTTATGTTTTGTTAAGTCATCTAGTTTATTGAACTAGGTCACGTACTTCGGACATTGTGGGAATGTATCTTCTAAATTGTAATCACTTAACCCTTAGTTCAATGACAAAGATTGTAACATCCCAAAATATATAGCATCTTATGAATACAACAATCAATGTTCATTATGAAAATTGATGCAATTCCTCAACCTTTACATCATTAATCAATAAGGTTTGTACAAAATAGTCCCACATGCGAATTATAAATTCAATGATATCAAATACATGAATCTATAGTATGTAGAACATCAAATTCAACAGTAGATAAAATGCCTTCAAGGCTTACAAATTCCAAGGCTTAAGCCCAGTTACACAAAAATGGTTTCACGAATCCATACATTTATAGCCCTTGGCTAGCAAAATGAACCACAACAAAATAAGAGTCATTTGCTCTCCACAAAATACGTCCACGCCCTTCACTCGACGGGATCACCACATCCTTTCCTGCACCAAAATCCCATAGGGGTGAGCATAAAGCCCAGTAGAGAATTCTTAACAAAGTATATACATTTATGTAAGATTCCCAATATAGAATGCATATACCATGCTATGCCTTTTAGAAGAAGATTACATTTACATCATTTGGAAACCACAATGTTCAATGGTAACTTGAAGTCTCAACAATTCAGAAATTCTACAATTTTATTCAAAGGGGCGGTAAATACGACTCAGGTAATCCCTAGGTTGGTGCCTGCAAGCAGGCATAACTAGTACTATCAAAACCCCCCACTTTACCGGTTGCTAACTGGAAGGGAAGTGGTACCGCCTCCCCGCGTGTTTTCGATCTTTCACCCCGGACACTCAGGCCAACTTAATCAATTCCATCTATACCTTCTATTCGAACTTACCAATGTATTTACCCCAAAACATTTCAATAGTTCTCATTTCTCAATAATTGTTTCTCAATGCATGTTTCAATTCCCAATTCAATATTTATAACAAGCTATATATTGGAGTGACAATGCAATAATTATCCATGCAATGCAATAACTAACCATGTAATGTAATGATTACCCGTACGATGTATCATCTTACCATTCACAAAACTTTCCCACAAACTCTCCGTTTGTGATCACAATTTCCACTTTTCTTTCTAATGCATTTCAATATATATAACATATGAATTTTTTTGTAGCTATCCAAGTGGAGCAACAATCCCCATCTCATGTGTCCTCAACTATTTGTTATTTCATGATTATGTGCATATACACATAAGAAAATTGGTAAGAAAATTTCTCATATACTAAGAAAATTGCCATTTGCATCCAATATCATGAAATTTCCACTTAAACATTCATTTAGCACAAGTAAATTCATAGGTTCTCAACATTCACCAAAAAAAACCTCAAATTTCTAGTTTTTTTCATCCAAACAATACATTCCTTCATCTCTTGGTAAAATCTCACCAAAAACATCATTCTTAAATCAATGTGATTCATCTCCTCAAGGAAACCTTTTAAAGAAAACAAGAGATGAACCCTTTTTACAAAACCACCAATTTCTTGAGCCAAAAACCAATTTTTAAAACAACCAAGTGGAAATCTGGAAATTTAACCAAAACTTGCAAATATATATATATAACTCTAAAAAACATCCCTACGTCAAGCTTGGAGAAGAAAATGAGATGAAACCCTCAAAATCGACTGCGTTGAAACACGATCTTCACCGCACGCAATGAAGCCCTCGGTTAGCTCTCCAATTTTGATGAAGGAACTTGGGTAAAAATTGCAATAGATCTAAAGAGATCAAGAGTTTTAAGAGGTTTGGTGTAGGAAATGTAGAGACAAGGAAGACGAAATGATTTTTAAAGAGAGAGAGATGTGTAAAAAGTGATATACACTCAGCCCCAAAAGAGAGAAAAGACAGAATTTTCAAACTCAGCAGATTCCCGCACGTGCGGCACCCATTCCCGCACATGCGGAGCGTCCTCCCGTACATGTAGCCTTCATCCTCGCACATGCGGCTCTCTCCTTCCCGCACTTGCTACCCTACGTGCATTTATTTCAGTATGCACCCAGGTCTTCCCCTGATTTCCGCACGTATGGCCCAAGGCCTCGTACGTGCGGCTCACCCCTCCAGTTCAGCAAATTTCTAACTCAACACCAGACACTCCGAATCCAACCTCACACCCTCTCGAGCAAGTGAAAATCAACGCTGGAATAAACAAGAACGAGAATTTTTTAGAAAAATTTCCAAACACCACAAACCCAAACGATTAACAAGGTTCTAAGTCAAACCCGACATTCTCAGATGGCAAACCCAAAGTTAAACAAAGAAAAACGAGGCAAGTAATACACCCGATCATCACAACCTCCCCACGATAGGAAATTTCGTCCCTGAAATTTAAATCAACTACTTAAACAAAAGAGTTTCTAGCAATCATTACCATGCCATTACCATTTCAAATCATAAAATAGATCTTCAACCAACATTAACTATTATCCTCATGATTACCTCAATAACGACAACCGCTTATAGTGAACATACGTATGCGGCCTTTTTGCAAACATCAATCCACAATGACTTCATGCGTAGAATAACGATGCATATAACGAAATGTGATTAACAATTTTGATACATTTCCCTTCAACACTAGGGAATATTACAAATCAAAACAACTAAGCATTTCAAACAAATCCAGATACTTGGAGCAGACTTTCGCCTCCCATTCCCACGTTGCTTCCTCATCCCCATGGTGTGTCCACAACACCTTTACCAACGGTATAGTTTTGCCCCGTAGCACTTGCTCTCGAGTATCAAGTACTTGAACCGGTCCCTCTTCGTAAGAGGCATCCTCATCTACCTCCAAATCAACCCAATCAAGAACATGAGAAGGGTTAGGCTCATATTTCCTAAGCATAGATACATAAAACACATTGTGGACCCCCGAAAGCTATGGCGGTAAAGCCAACCGATACGCCACTTCCCCAATTCTCTCCAATATCTCGAAAGGCCCAATCAACCTTGGAGTCAACTTACTACTCTTACTGAACCTCATCAAACCCCGCCTAGGTAAGATGTTAAGGAATACATGGTCACCCACTTCCAAAGACAAAGGTCGTCTCCTCTTATCAGCATAATTCTTTTGTCAGCTTTGGGCCGTAACTAACCTCTTTCGAATGAAAGCAACCTTCTCAGTTGCCTCCCTAACAATTTCTGGGCCCAACAACGGTGCATCACCCACCTCAGCCCAACAAACTGATGATCTACAAGGTCGGCCATACAAGGCCTCAAACAGTGTCATCTCGATGCTAGCTTGATAACTATTGTTATAGACAAATTCAATTAACGGTAAGTGCCTCTCCCAGGACCCCTTAAAATCAAGGATGCAAGCTCTAAGCACGTCCTCCAAAATCTGGATAGTACGCTCCGACTGTCCGTCGGTTTGGGGGTGGTAAGCGACGCTAAAAGTCAGCTTAGTTCCCAACGCCCCTTAAAGGCTTTGCCACAACCAGGCAGTAAAACGAGGATCTCTATCCTATACAATGGTTACAGGAACTCCATGAAGTCGAACTATCTCTCTAATGTACAACTCTGCCAAGTGCTCCACTGAGTCGCCAGTGTGCATCAGAATGAAATGCGTAGACTTAGTCAACCTATCAACAATCACCCAAATGGCGTCATTGCC